TCGCAAAAAAACACCTATTGCATCTTGCGACCCTTCCCAGGCGTTATAAATATGTTTGACAAGTGCGATACCCGCATCTGTTGTCGATCTGCCTTTAGTGAATCCATATTGCTCATTGTGAAAAATTTTGTTCATATTAAAATGTACTAAGAGCTGATTTAAAATTAGTTTTTCAAAAATTTTACTCAGAGATGGCAATATGGAGATAGGTCTGTAGTTTCCTGGATCATTTTTATCCCCACTTTTGAAGACGGGGATTATCTTACTAAATTTCATAAGATCTGGAAATATTCCAGATTCTATGCAGTTGTTAAAAATATTAGCTAAATGTGGTGCAATATATGGCATTATTGTGGTCATTAATTTTATGGACATGCCCCATAAATCCCCTGTATTCTTAAGATTAATAGAATTTAAAACTTTTATAATATCATAAGTATCTACGTGATTAAATTTAAATGTGTGGGGACAAAAGGTAACATTATTTCTTAGAACGTTAATTGCATCTATGGGATAGATGATTTTAATGTACATGTGACATTAACTGCAATTTCTGAAAAATAGCTTTCAAAACTACTTGCAATTTCATTATCTGATGTTATGGGAGTATTACCTATAACCAGTTTTATAGGTTCCCTGTATATCTTGGGTCTTCCAGATATACGGGTAATGATGTCCCATGTGGCTTTAATTTTATTGTTTGAATTTATTATTCAATTTCTTATATGAATAGATTTTGCCTGAATACAGACTTTTTTAAATATTTTTGATTAAATACTTTTATGAAAGTTGGGGACATGATTCCACTGCCTCATATTATATAATTCATACAGTGAATCCCTACTTTTATATATACCCACTGTTGCCCAGTCACTAAATTTTAATTTTGAATTTTTAACAATTGTGCGCGATTTAAATACATCATTATAAGAAGATATGAGAAAGTCAACCATTGATTTATAAGAATCATTAGGATTATTGACTTCTATATCTTTATTTAACATATGATGTGCCACTTTATCTTTAAAAGAATTTATTCTATTAGTAGTGACTGGTCTACACTTGATCTTATGTTTGCTTGTAATAACTTTTCATTTATTGAAAATTTTAAACCAAAGTGGTCAGAGCTCAGATAATTTATAACATATTTATCATATACATTATCGTGGCAGAAAACGTTATCTATACATGTAGAGGATGAGTTAGTGACACGAGTTGGTTCATGAAAAAGATTATTAAGTTTGATGAATGTAATGAAATAGAAAATACTATTTATAGTCTTAAAATTTAAAGTTTTGAAATTCAAAGTCCAGAATTCAGCGAGCTAACCAATCAAACGGCCTTAGAGTGACGGGAAAAGCGTACTCGAAGAGTTCGAGTAAATAAAACTTAAAAAATATCTCCTCCAGCCTCCAAGCGAGGCTCTTTCACTGAGCTGGCGCATAAATCTTGTGTCGGGACGTTAATTCTTAAAGCACTACCTTGTATGGAGGAGGAACGTTCTACTCGGCGTTTAAAGCGAAAAAATGCTTAATGGCGATTGTTGAACTAAACGCTACGAAAAGGAAATAGATAAGTGGTACCTTAGATACCCGTTTTTTGTGTACATCGATTTATACAGCGTGTCTTTACCACCGCGACAATAAATGAACACACGTCTAACGCAACTTGCCAATAATCATAAAAAAATATTAACGTTAAAAAATGCATAATTAAAAAAAATATTTTTAAAATAAACTAATTAAGTAAAAAAGAAACAAAGTTTGGAACATCCTATACAACTACATCTGACTGATTCATACATTCAGAGACTCATTCGTTGCCACAGCGCCGTATTACAAGCCTCTCCTTCTAAAAGTATGTTTTGTCTTTTTTAAATTCATTCAACCCATTCATATGCTTTGTGACCTTTACAAATGGACTTTACATTAAAGTTTTATACGTAAGGGTGTTCTAAAATTCTTTGTTTGGGAAAATTTGATAACTCGTTAAATATTGATGTTTAAAGAATGTAAATCTTTAATACAATTTTAAAAAGTTATTCTCTATATGTGTGTTCTTTTATTGTCGCGATGGTAAAGACACGCTGTATATAACATGACAATACTATGACGAGATAATATTCTTTATTATAACGATTCAAATGTTCACGTTTTGATGACCCGACTAAGGTGGCCTCTAGGTCTAGTTAATGGATAGTGAACCTGTCTATGAGATCCCCATTTATGGTAATATACTGTGTGTGATGAATATAGTATATAGTAGTATATGTATGTTTTTAGTATATATTGATTTAAATATTTGTAATATTGATTTGTTGAGATGACATTCTAAGTTATTAGCTAAATTAGGCATTAATACAAACTATCGTAGTCGTAATGCCAAATTATTTTATATTCCACTAGCATCTACCAAATTTGCCTAAAATAACCCCATCTCTAGAATGTGTTCCTTGAACAACAAACTTACAACCATTGATGAATCAATAGATATATTCCATTAGAAGCTGAGTGCATTCAAACGCAGTATTTGAGGCACATAATGTTTTTATTTGTTTTTGATTATTTTTTACTTTTTATTTAGTTACTTTCAATACCTTTCCCTTTTTAAATTTATAAGTTAATATTTTTTAATGATATCGAAGCATGTAGTGTACATATATTTTTGGCAGAGTGTGTATAAGTTGCCCTTATTAAGATTATTGTACTGTTTGCAGTTCTATGTACCAAATCATATAAAATAAAATAAAAAATAAGTATGTATTTATATACAATAGAAAAGTATGTTTAAGTATGTTTATAAGTTACCTAATATATATAAATCATATAATATTATTTATTTTTAAATGATTGGCTTATTTGTTACGTTATGAACTCTGGACGTAATCCACAGAGAGTAAAAACATTTGCTTTTTCTAAATCCAAAGATTCTTGTTTTACAACGATAGATATGACGCTACGGCAATAGTATGTATATATTTTTTGCAATTCATATCATAGATTACGTCTTGGATCATTGATCGCATAATGTATTATGCTAATGTAAACGCCTTAAAGATAGTGTTTTTATTAAATGTTCATCGTGAACGTTCGTTGCTTTTTTGCATGAAAATGCATAGAGTTTATGACAGATTTTAACACCGTATGAATACTCAGCATAACATTGTAACCACACTAGACAAGTTTTATGCTCAATTTGCTTGTCGATACGCGGTTATATGGCTCGAAATTTGATTTCGATGGCCGTCATTTAATTTTCTACATCTAGTCGTAGATTTTACTACATCTTGTAAACTTAGTATGCCCTTAAATGTTATTTAATAAAAGATAAAACATGAAAATATTTTTGATAAAATATCAACGGGAAGTACATTTGATAATGTTCGATTAAAAAATTAAAATTACGATAACAGCATATTTGTAATACTTTACTAGATCAAAATAAAAATTACAGTAGCATACATTATAAACGATAGTAGGTACTCATACATACATATAATAGAAATTAAGGAGACACATTACCCAATAGTTCCGAACTACTTGGTTGGCCTGACATTATTGGAAAATCCTCTTAACTTAAGGGAGGCAAGAGACAACAGGAAATGTTACGATATTTTCTTACTGAAAATGACAGCATCTTATTAAACGACCGAGGAGGACTAATAAAAACAGAACACAACTTGAATGATAAGCCCAATGACCGCAGGCGATGCTATCGACACGACTATAGCCGAGACGTGATTAGTGCATAAATTATTTCTAAGTCTTATTCTGCGTCGCTGAGATGTTTATCTGAACAACGGCGATGTAGCACCGATAGCTCTAATCAGGACACGGCTCGCTAATTAAAGACCGACCAGCAACTAAAACCCGTTGCGATTCCGTAGCAACGGCGTTGCAAGTAACCAACGCGACTAGAATGCTTAATAGAGCGTTATTGTGAATATACCAGATACGCAGGGTGCTAGCGCGAAATATTTGCACAAACATCTCCTGCTCCGTTGTTTAACATTCTTTTCCTGTCAACATTCTTTACATGTCACACTTCTTCATGTGCAGGATAATATTTTTGTTCTGGTGAAGTTTATACAATCTAATCGGATAGCTACCATTGACTAGCCGTAGGCACTTACTTGGTAACAGGATATTCATTTAAAGTGTAGGCGTCTAATCGAAAATCTTGCCGCATTCAAAGTAAGTGAGTGCCTTTAAACCAACACCCGATTAAGTAGTTAATAACACAATTATCGTTTCCCAATGAAACGATCACAGTTTTTTGCAAAAATTAATTTAGAAGTGCAAAAATGTTCAGCCCGACCTTACCAGTGGGGCGTGACCTTTAGTAGCATTTACAACTCAGTGGTTCTCAGGAAGTCACATCATCGGTTACGGTCTAGAACTGTTGTTAACCTGTGCAGGGCGGCCTTCGTACGGTCTTGAATTACAAAATTCCTGTTCTCACGTTTTGAAACATAATGAAGTAAAAAACACTACTAGGCCGTGTCATCTATGAATTTCCGATCACGTTATGTTCCGATTCGTGGTGGTAAGCTTGTTTTCGTATTATCGGTGAAAAAAAAATTGTTAGACACTGAATTTTGCGCCCAAAAAATCCGTAAAAAGAGAAATTCACGGGTGAAAGCCACTGACTTTCGACAGTTTTAAATTCTGCACCGTTATATCATTTATCAACGATCAGTGTTTTTGAAAACAAATATGTTTTGTCATGTACAAGACCACTGCGAATATATCGTTTAAAATGACAACATATCAAGTCTAGCTAAAAAAATGCGTATAAAAATGTGTATTTAATTGTTACAGAGACAGCACAAGTTCGAGGTGCCCGCGTGGCACCCACCTCCACACGGCTGCTGATGACGCAATAAATTGTGATGCTGACACGAACAGGACCGTATAGGAAACTGCGTCCTAGAGGACGACGAAGGACGTTGTAACGCGACAACCGCTAGTCTGATAAGTGCGGGTGCCTAAATCGTTCTAATGATGTTGGGGAACCGTCGCAACTTTGTCTTCAGGGTGAGCATCGTGATAAATATCGCCGTGTTGCTGTACGCCGCGATGCATTTGTCCGGGAACAGCGCCCCGGGCGTGGAATGGGTGCCGCTGACCGTAGACGGATCGGAGAGGAGCGCCGACTTCAGGTACATAAACAGGGAGGACGTGCGGAACGAAACCGAGACGCGGCCGCTCGAGTCGAGCGTGAAAAACATCGAGGAGTCCACCTCGCAGAAGACGCCCTCCACGGTGGCGACGACGAACAAGACTGCCTCCAGCACCGCCTCGATTGCCGAACTGGAGAAGAAGATACTCAGCGTTGTGCCATCTGAGCCGGACTCGACGAACGATACAATACTCGACATCGTCGATGAAAACGCTCTAACGGACGCCACTTTAGCGCGCCTTCGCTCGCTGCTCGGCTGCAACGAGAGAGATTTCCTACCGCAGACGATCCAGCGAGGTGACTTCTGGGTGCTCAAGAATTTCGTGCGCGCCGACCACGGAATCATCCTCTGCCACGAAACCATTACCTACACCACACACGCCGGTTTCGAATTTCTGGACAACGTGCAACCACTCGTCGAAAGGTAAGTGATGCGAAAAAATTCTGTTAATGATTTTAACATTGAGTATAGTTGGTGTTCCATTTTCGATCGAGTGATTACATCAAATACGAGTAATTAAATGATTATACCCAGTTATTGCGGGCATTTTAGTTGAAATGGTCCTTTAATTTTGCAGCGCGCGTGCACAAAGTTTTCGGTTTAACTAAAAGGATTTCGAGGTGAGTTAGAGGTCAAATTAAAATGTGATAGACCGACAAAAAACAAAACCTTCGGTAAATGCATTGGCTTTTTGCAACCGTTGTAATTATTTCAGAACAAAAAAACAAAACGGTAATCGTTTTAGTAGTCATTAAACGTTGAAGCAAGATCCCAATGATTTGCAACAAATGTTGCGCCTAACACGAGAGCCATCACAAACATTTGCATTTACATGTTAATGGGCTATAATCAGAATATCGTCACGAAACTCAAAATTACTCTGTTGAGTAACCTGTTTCAACGGTAGCCATTATTAGAATCAAATAATATCATTTCGTATTTGACACACTTCCGTTAACCGAGAATATCTGAGAATGTGTACCTATAACAGATTAATTTTAGATACATTTCAATATTTTTGCGATTTATGGGGCAAGAAGTTCCAGTTGATATTATGTTCTCGTAAACATTTAGAGCCATAGAGCTATGCGCAGTTTATAATTGATCTAAAAAATGTTAGTAACCTTAAAATATATAACGTATAATCACTGAAGAGACAAAACAATGAGAAGTCAAAGAACAGAAAGTATGTTAACAAAATATGTGAAAGTCTTGTGTCATAGCAATCGTATACATAAAAATTTTATCGAACCCACCAATTTTGAAATCAGCCCGTTAATAAATATTTTCTATGCCTCTTAGCTAATACATTATGCATCCATATTACGTTTAATTTTGATTTGGTTTTGCAATATTGCTCTATTACGCTGCGATATGTTTTAGATATTACAAAACACGGCACGGTAACCTTTTATACAATATGTCATCTTTGTAATACTAATAATCCACATTATGAAATTAAAGGTCAATTTTGCTTAAATATCGCATTAAGTTTGAAATTTCACCAGATTAGTATATGAACGGTAAAAATTATTATTATAACTACAATACAGTGTGCAAATTTAATGGTGTATTGTTTAAACATAATTATTGTAAAACAAAAGTGTACGTTGTGGCGTTAATCAAGTTTCGAATTTTTTGTGATTATAATCAAAAAGCTGACAGATACCTTCAACTCCTTTGATATGACATAATTATGTCGTCATGATATTGTAGCTATAATATTGGGAAAATAAAAATAATACTAATAAACAGTTTTATCAAATAGTATGTGGTAATCGCATTCTTATATACAAACAATAAACCTTTTAGTTAACATTAAGACATTCTTAAAATATGTAGAAAAAGTACGAAAAGATTGTCGCCGCTGTGGGAATCGAACACAGATCTTAAGTGCAAAGATTAGCACTATAAACAATTTCAAATTTATTAAGACATTAATAAAAATTATATAAAACAAATTATAAAACTTTAAAGAAGGATGGAGTGGAATGGAATCCCACCAAAAAAAAAACAACTAAAAAAAAAAAACGAACTATTCCCGCTTCGTGAACGCCGTCTTGTACACAAACTGGCCCGTTGACAGTCAATTGGGTAACAATCGGGCACAAATTGCGCGGTATCTCGTCGTGTTGGCTTACCCCACACGACGCGCCACAATAGCTTCGAGAGAGCCCGCTCCAATAGAGGCGTTTCGTAAACGCCTTTATCTTTATTGGATGATGTTTTCGCTTTCAGTCACAGAGTATGTTAAGGTTCTCCTTACTTTACTTTAGCTGATGTTTTTGCTTTCAGTCCGTTCTATAAAAGCTTCATCGACATTAGAACTCGAGTGCTAGCCGGAACCCAGGAACTTGGTAGGGTCGGGTAGGGTCTGGTTTCTTCGGTCATTTGGCCCGTGCAGAGAAAATGCTTTTGCGTATCGTTAGCTCTGTGCAATGTGGTCTGGTATAGTTTCATTTTTTTATTCTGCCTGCCTTTTCACTTGTTTGCAGCAGAATTTGATGGATACCACAAATTGTGCTGTCGGAGTGGCCAAGTTCTGGGCCGGAAACATGACTTGTCATCGAAACGTAAAGAAGAAGATTTCTTTATTTTATTCTACACCCTTGCGGTTTAGCTTTTTTTTCAGTAACGAGATGGCAATAAATCTCTAGCCGTATTCCTTTTCTACTAAACTCACAAACACTATTTGACCGGTTATAAAAGCTTAATCAAATGTAATAAATTAAATATTGTAATAATTAATTTATTGTTCAGTTCAAGATATATACATGTATGTATCGAAAAAGTGAGTTTTCTAAAGAAGTTCTACTTTTATTAAAATTAAACCTACTGTCTACTGACTCTTAAACTACACTAAGCTCGCAATCTGTGGTTATATTAAAGTAGAATCTGTTGTTTTTTCTGCTCGTTTCGAACCATAAAACCGTCTTCGACGCATTTCCAAGCAATTGCAAGACGTATTTCCTCAAACTGATTTCGTAAGTGAAAGCTAAACTTATATTTAAAACTAAGGTGATGAAGTAGTGATAAGGTGGATAAGGTGACAAGTAAATGATTTTAAATACGGACCACTCCTTTAGAAAATTGTAACCCTAGAGCTTATTTTTAAAGTTATACTTGTCGGAAAAACTATGAGTGACATGATGCTTGGTTATTAATTTAATCTTGGCAATCAATAAACGTTTTGACATTTACCAATAATTTAATTTTTTATATATATAATAATTAATATAATAATTTTATTTTAATAAACCGTTATCAATTGCATTTAATGTCTTTACGCTAAAAAAATATAACTTCTTACGTGTGTACACACATATATTTTTTGTATACGTAACGTTTTAATAAAATCACCAACTATTAAATTAAATGGAACGAAAGATTCCTTCTTTCTGTTATCTCCGTAGCAAAACAAACGATCTTTTAATTTCATCACGAACCCCACAATGCAGCATTTCAAATGGCTCCAATTTTGTATCCGTCGAGCCTGACCTTCACCTGCCACAGTTGTGGAGTCTAGACTAGACCAAACGGCCATGTGTGTTACAATCACCTGAATTACTTTAAGTATAGTTGAAGGGAAATGTGTGCTTGGGTGCAGTCATTGACGACGTATTTGCAACTCCTATTACTTGGTCAGGGGCACTCACTTAGATAGAAAACACTCTTTTATAGGATTGCACTAAAATAACACGTATTGCCCTATAACATAAGCCATTTCACGTCATTCATTTTTGTGTATCGTTTATTTGACATAAAATTTCTTCTAAGGCAGTTGGCGGTCCTTATGATATCGCCAAGACATACAATTTATTCATAGAATCAAATGATATTACATGCAAAGATATGACACTAGCGCACCGAAATTGAGGCACTCAAATTACACCCATTAATGTAATTAGACTTAGCAGTCTAGAGAGATAGCTCTCTTTCCATATCATACATTCTATATCATCTGTCATATTCACTTATATATGTCATAAAATGTAAAGAGGAACAATTGTCAAACGCCGTGCAGTATGGACATCATCATCATCATCTATATTAATTATTAAACATCATTGATAGAATCGAAAAGGATTTTTTGTTTCGTCAATTCTAGCTCTTAAACAAAAAATGCAACGTTCTACATAACTTAGGAAAAAAGGACGTCTAAAGTAAGTATTAAAGTTTCGCATATACAGTAATATTTTTTGAGAAGTGCCCAAATTTACACAGGAGGTTCAGACTCGGTGGTATTATCGTTTATTGAAATAAAAAACAAAGTTTTTTTCCAAAAAAAAAAAAATGCCATTCTATTCCCTAAAAACGGAACGCGTTGACAATGCGGTAGCCATTCATAAATACCTACATTTTACTGTGCACGAACTTGTGTGCGTGTTAGTTATGAATGATCGCGCGTAAAATAAATGAGTTGCGTATAAACCACGCACTTTTTGAGATATGTTCAAATGAATGTAATTTATTACTTAAGAGTGATTTTAAATGTTTATCATTTTTTATATAACATTATTTATGTCTAGAATTTAATAAAAAAAAATGGATACACTTAGAAAAGCCACCCTGTGTAAGTGCTACAGCAAGATTATGAATCCAGCTGAAAAGATGATTGAAATCTACAGGTGTTCTTGATGCGTCTTCGTCCGCTTAACTTTTTCGAGACTGAGGAAAAATTACGCCAGCTACAAAAACTTATTATAATATCAGCTAGTCCACTAACATATGGAAAATTCTCCAATTCTCATAATGTTCCGTGATATGTTGAAATAAAGGAAATAATTGGAGTAGTCTGCAACAACAATAAGACAAATGAATTTGTAAAACATTCACTTGAACGTTAAAATGAAATCGTATTTCTCTCCATGGCATCATTGTCCAGCCGCACGTGAGTAATGGTTGTATAGTGCAAGCTTCTTACATCTGTCATTACCGACGTATCGAGAACTTTCACCTTTGGACCACTAGTGTCCCCTATTCTTCTAACCTTAATGTTCCGAAACTGGTACACGGCATTGTATAGGGCAGCTGCTTTGCTGCCACTTTCAAAGGAAAATAACACAGAACTGTGTGTACTTTTTTATGAAAAAATACGTCATAAGTATTATTTGATACGTTAAGCTTTGTTAACAGATTTAAAGCGTAAAAATGTTCATATATTAATTTTATGGTTGTGAAAAAATTATATAATAATTTTTTTTTCCAATCATACAATTTTGGAATAGCCCTTTAGGATATATTATGTATGATTTATAACCAATTCAATTAAACGAAACACAGACTGATACCTCCAAACTCTACTTCGAAACGCACAGATAGTTTTTGGCTTTAAACCAAGGAATGATGAAAGAATATAAGTAATTTTATTTTTTTCAAGTAAAATGTCGGGTAATGGAACGCAGATTATGACACATATTTAG